CGCACTGGTTGTGCATGACCCCCTCCAAATTTGAGTATTAAACCCCGTCCGCCAAACAAAACACCACACGGGACACGGCGCCGCGCGCACAATACACACACACACACACACACACACACACACACACTTTGGAAAGCTTAGAACTTGGACCCCCTTCGGGAACCACCTAGCCTCTACTCTTTCGGGACATTGCTTTTGGACACCCTAGCGGCGGTGTTATAGCTTCCCCGTAGAGGACTTTAGTCCCATATGTGTCGGTAATCTGGCTGTGACGTCATCCATGTATAAATCCCTGGGGCAACAGACGCATTATTTCCGTGTTCCAATTTATGGACATCGATCCTTCTCCTAAGTGGTTACTCAGGGCAAAATAATACGAAATTTGCATGTTAATTAATACAATATATTATGTGATCACACGTTTATATAGACCAAGCGTAGCATATGTGGATTATAAACGTATGATACGATCTTGTTATTTTCGACTTTACGTAGACACTGAATACAACGGCAAATCATCTCTATGACTCCTAACCGGTCGTGTCCCGTCTACGCAATGTCCATTTTAACCATATTTCCTACGATATTCGCCTGTAAGCGAACCGGCACCGCCCATGGAAACCGCAGCGCTTACAACGATGTAATAGTATGCGCACGACTACACATATGGGGACACTGACACTAAAATCAACAGCCAGACGGTAGCACGTGACCTCCTGACGTCAACGGCCCTCTTCGTGATTGGCCGAGCTAACACGCACGTCAATTACGGACCCACGTGGTGCGATAGCGTTTTTGCACCGAAGTGGTGTGTTTATGTCATTACTTACCGCCATTTTACCTTTGTTTCTCGAATTTAACGCTTTTCTGTGACGAATTTTAGTCGTGCATTCGCGAGGCGAGGTCGCCGTGCACACACACCAATGTTTGTTTTTGCGAATTCGTGAAGAAGTCGACCCTTACTGGGCAGGATGAGCTTGGAGACTTTGCTGGAAGCTGCCCAGTTTATCGAGTTGCGTGCTAGGCCGTCGCGCAGCGATGACAGAACACGTGGTACGTACTGACTTGTAAGCGGCGGCGCTTGGCGTATCCACCCGTGAACGCCCGTTTTCAAGCTAGCACTACAAGTGTAGCAATATTGAAGCGATTTGTTAGCGTTAGTGTGATCCATTTTGCATCTGTAACCCCGTAACTGTGCAAGCTGTACGGCTACGTGCGTTTTATTGTGGTTGAACCTGATCTGAAATCTAATTTAGTTGTATATGGTGATTGCAATTTGCAGTGGTACTATACTGTTAGCCGCTAAGTCAGTTTATCTTTACCGGTTCTTTCATTTATAATGCATCTATAAGAGCTATTATTTATGTGTAGTGTTCCTCCATCTCCATCTCCGTCTCCATCTCAAAGCTAAAACGCCGTACTACATATGTACATGTTTGTAGTACGTACACGTACATAATCACATATCGTACATGTACATTATGATTATCTCCTCGATCTTGCCCCCCCCCAGGGGCGTGTACAGGGGGGGGGGGTCCAGGGGGGCCAGACCCCTTCCCTGCTTGCGCAGAAAACGCATCTGAGGAGGTCTAATTTTAAAATTTTCTGAAGGAGGGCCCCAGACCCCCCCTTCGCGTGCTCGCAAGTATGGGTTACGGTTAGACCCCCCCCGGTACAAATCCTGTACACGCCCCTGCCCCCCCCCACACACATGTAGTTCCATGTAGTTCAAGACACAGAATGACAGATTGATTACCATGGCCTAGCTGGCGCACCGATCTGAGCACGATAATAGTACTAGCTCTCATTGCACAGCACAAGCGCCACAGTTTCTGTAAATGTTTTGTGTTTGCATTGGATGTGAGCTCCCTCCAGACTTGAAGAAGCATTTTGTAGCAACAAAATGCGTTTTGTGTGCGTGCGGTATAGTAGCTAGAACTTTATACCGTCCTCAATAGCCTGACGTGTATACTATATACATTACTTGTGCAATCCTGACCCCCAGGCATGTAATACATGACATACATGACCTTATCAGGAGTCTATCAATATATTGATGACCCCCATTGATAGACTCCTGACCTTATATACATAACCTGCAGTTATTCCAACTGACACGTGCCAACACGTATGAGTATATATGTCTATGCGGGAACGTTTTCAATTGGTATTTCCTTAAATATAAAAAAAAACAATGTGAACCAAAAACAACAACAAAGTATCACTGATGTGAATAAAGTAAAATTGAACGTGCATTGGCTAATTTACATGTGAAATATCTGCAATATAGTGAACCTTCTCTGCAATTCACTATGCCAACATTGCCAAGGCTACATTTAGCAGCAATTGTCATTGTATTTTCTGACAAATGACACGTCTATAGATCAATCAATTCGTGTAATAAGCTAAGTGGGTAGTATTCATTATTCACGATTCATTGTTCCATGAAAATAGAAACCATATATGAATAAATAATGCATACATTAGAGGTACGAGCTAGACGTACTGAGAGTAGACCGTCAAAGATCAGCTGTGCAAACAATGCAGCTGCAACAGCTATATAGTTGTGTGACACACTTCGAATTTCTCTCAACCCGGCACGAGAAAATTCGTAGTAGCCGTTCGTGGTGTTGGTGATGAAATCTTCGAACGGCGTTGGAATTCCGCGCAGGTTACGAAGTGTCGCAAGCGGGCGAAGGTGCAGCAGAGTGTGATGGACCGGACACGTACACGGACAGCAGGCTGTCTAGCCGTACAGGGTCCGTTAGTGGGGATGCTGCGCTCAGCAGTCAAGAGGATGGCTTCATGTCTTCGCTATCGGCATCCGGCAACGGGTACGTGAGACTATAAAAATAAAACAGAAGATTATGATTTTATTACATTATGACTTTTTTTTTTTCATTATAAATATAATGACAATTTTTCACTTGGGTGGGGTGCATCTGTAGATGTAGGCACTGTCAAGGGCCAGTAACTTATAGTTACGTGACATTATCTACATCTATGTGCACTGTCTCTGAAAGCATATTATACTTATAGCCAATCGTTGTATTATTCCAGGACACATTTATATAATATGCAGTGCATTTTGCAATCTTAATGTTTTTCTTTAATTTCAATAACTTCTGTTTTATTTTTCTGTGTAAGGAAAGTCAATTGGTGAGCCCACATGATTTTTAGAATTTGTATTGTGTTATAGTATAAATTGTAAATGCATTTGTCAATGTCCAATCTGTAACACCAGGCTCGATTGTAATGTCCACGTGTAATATCACGTGTAAATTGTGTAATGTCACATGTAATGTCCACGTGTAACGTGTAATGTCCACCTGTAACCCCAGGCAGGGAATAACAATTGTAAATATATACGGCACGACATACTCCTTTTGTTTCAGTGGAGGGACTAGAGACATGCACAATAAATTAGAGAAACACAGGTGAGTCCGGAAAGCAGGTTCACAGAATTAAATATAGAATGTCGTCTGCGCAGATTCAATAGTGATAACTGCATGCTTGCCTCGTTCGTCAGACGCTTTCCGGCAAATTATGCACGATTGATTTTGACTGACGCCATCAGTCGGTGCTGGAAGCAACCTTATTGATCGCACCCTTAAACAAGGACGCTGGTGTCAGTCTATGACTAACCAACCAATGTGTTTGACGGGTGGTGAACGCACCATTTCGATTAATTTCATAAGGGTAAATCACCATAAACCGTCAGAATAATCGCCATCGCTTCGCCAAGCAAGGTTAAGCAAGCCGTATCGATTAGAGATGGACACTAACAAGAGAGCTAATGTATAGCAGCATTAGCGAGAGAGATGTCCTATTTCGATATACTAGCACTATAGCAGCAGGCACGCACGAATGAGTCACACGCACGACCTGCCACATGCTATCGCTAGCGTTGTTGTTTGTGCTCCCTGCGCTCTCGCGCGTGGCCGCCCGCCCTATCCCCCCTCATTATGCTAAGCTCACCGGGTCACGTGCTTGTAGGCGGGCCTACCTGAAGGAGTGTTTCCTGACGCTGAAGAGACAAGTGCCGTATCTGGAAATGTACAAGAAAACGTCTAATCTTAGCATTCTGATGAACGCGTTCAAGTACATACAGGTACGAACAGTAAGACTATGTGACAGCGCGCGAGCCTGTGGCGCGTGTGTGAGATTAAAATTGATTTTTATTAGAAAGTACCACGTGGTGTGCCATCGGCTATTCCGTCTGCGCGCGATACTCCCCTCGCGTGTAGCAAACTGGGCCGTACCAAGTTATCTGTGCTGGGAGGGGTTGGGTATACTACACACAGTGAGTAGTAGTGAACGGTCGCAGAAATTCTAGTCAATTCGCGTAACCCACAAGGAATAGAATATTACTTGAATAGAATAGTACTGACAATATTACAACCTATACTCGTAATCCTAGTACAGCAGATCTTCAGGGATTACAGATATACAGGGATTACAGGGATTATATGCTCCCCTATTTGTGTAACATTGTTGTACAATATATTGTTACACATGGAGATTCAATCTTGTTCGTACAGCCACAGGGATGTTTGGAGTTGCCACAGATTACATAGTTGCTATGGTTTCACTCGCAGCTCAATTAACTAGTGTGTGGTATTTCCCAGGCAGAGAGTGAGATCGTATTGTGAAAGAACACTGTTATTACAAAGTGCACCGCTATATGCCGTGATTACATGGTGTGTTTGTGTTACAAATCAGGACAGTGTTCGAATTGTCATTTATGGAAATAGTTGCCTTCAAAACTGAATAGCCTATCCAATTGCTCATGTGATGTCATATATACGTATGTAGAAATTATCAATTTCATGTTGAAATTTTTGTTACTTACACACCAACTTTACTCAAAAAATGTGAATTGACAAGTTATATCATATTTAATTTATCAACGGGCAGAACTCAGTTAGCCGTCTATTAATTGTCAGTTATTGTCTATATTTATTGGTATTAAAGCCATATTTAATGGACATTTTTTCTAGATTCTTGACTCTGAGATGTTTGAACTGATGCACCAAAATGGAGACTACACGCACTTTTACTTCTGCTATCGGTGGTTTTTACTGGACTTCAAGAGAGGTATGGTCCATGTACGGCACACACATAGTCATGCACGCACGCACGCACGCACGCACACACGCCTGCATACACATGCACGTGCACGCACTCACACATATACACACATACAGTGCACATACTCACGAGGGAGCTTGTGCAATTTTTACGCTAAAATGGAGCGATCTGGTGCATACCCGAGGTGAAATTCTTGCAAATTTTCAAATGAAAAAAAAACAGAAAAAAACACCTATTCAGTAAAAATGTCTTCGACTATGGTAAAGTAATTTGCATAAATATGAATAATAGGAATAAAGAATGTAAACGAATTGCTAAGAGGAGCTTTTGCAATTCTTACACTAAAATGGAGCGATCTGGTGCATACCCAAGGTGAAATTCTTGCAAATTTTCAAATGAAAAAAAACAACAGAAAAAAACACTATTCAGTAAAAAATGTCTTCGACTATGGTAAAGTACATTGGCATAAATATGAATAGATATGAATACAGAATGTAAACGAATGCTAAGAGGAGCTTTTGCAATCTTACACTAAAAATGGAGCGATCTGGTGCATACGCGCAAGTGAAATTCTGCAAATTTTCAAAATGAAAAAAAAACAACAGAAAAAAAACACCTATTCAGTAAAAATGTCTTCGACTATGGTAAAGTAATTTGCATAAATATGAATAATAAGGAATACAGAATTAAACGAATTGCTAAAGGAGCAAATTATAGTACCCGTAATACAATTAAAAAATGTGTTAATTATGTACCTTTGGTACATGAAACACTTTCAGATAAATAACTGCGCATCTTAACAGTGTCACTTTTTGTTGTGGGGGGGGCGGTGGACAATGATAAAAAAAAAATTGTTGGTAGGGCTAACGAGGGTGCGAGCCCACAATCAGACAGGGCGAATTTATTGGTGGGGATACCTTCTATAACTATGGATAAAAAAAGAGCATGCTTAATTTCATATTGGAGGTTCAGAAGCTCCCCCCCCCAAATATAATAATCTCCTCTCCTTTCTTTTGCTGTCCTTCTTCCAAGGGCAGTTGAGGCTGCAATACTCAGCATGTAAAAATATTGGGCGCGTCATATGGACTATTGGCACCAGCTTGTAACCAAGAAGGCTTGGATTGTGCGGAAACAAGACCATCCAGCATATTTTTTTTCTACGCCGCTTCTCTTCCTGAGGCAGTCTGAAGTGACAAAATGCAACAGCATCTGGCCATGTTTGATGGGCAGCGCACCCCCCCCCACCCCCGGGGGCGGTTCGTGCAAACCCCCAAAACCCCCCTGGCTACGGCCTGCAATACACTATGCCATCGCACTCGAACACATACACGGCGTCGAATTTGTGCATCAGGCATGCTCGAAACACAGAAAATCCACACGGAGACTGACAAGCATTACCTCGCAACATACCACATCCTACTACAAACATCCTACTACATACCCCGGGCATAAACTCTGACAATGTCCTTGATACTAACTCCCTACACTTACAGAGCTGGTCTATGAGGACGTAATTCAGAGTGTGGGAGACTATCTGGCAGCAACCACCTGCTATATATATACTACTAAATGCTCTACCTTGCAGAGCTGGTCCTATGAGGACGTGTTCAGTGTGTGGGAGACTATCTGGGCGGCTAACACCGTGCCTATATATATACTACTAATACGCTACTAACGTCTACACTTACAGAGCTGGTCTAATGAGGACGTAATTCAGAGTGTGGGAGACTATGCTGGTCAGGCTAACACCTGCTAGTATATATACTACTAATAGCTACTAACTCCCTACACTTGCAGAGCTGGTCTAATGAGGACGTGTTCAGTGTGTGGAGAACTATCTGGGGCGGCTAACACCTGCTATATATATACTACTAATGCTCTACCCTTGCAGAGCTGGTCTATGAGGACGTGTTCAGTGTGTGGGAGACTATCTGGGCGGCTAACACCTGCTATATATATACTACTAATACGCTACTAAC